GGCTTCGAGGGCTTTCTGGAGAAGGTGGACTCACTTTGACATTTGTTTGTTTTGTTTTTTGTGTTTTTGAGGCAGGCTCCACAGTGTGGACCAGGCTGGCCTTGAATTTGCAACCCTCCTGCCTCAGCCTCCTGAGAGCTGGGATTACAGGCCTGTGCCACTATCCCTACTTGTGCCATGTGTTCTTCTAAAAGTTCTTTCTTGCTGCCAAGGTGGTCTGCTCTCAGAGGCTGGGCCTCTGGGTTATCAATTGTGATACGCGTGCCTCTGTGGGGGCAGCTGACAGCTTAGTGAGTTGGATGGGGAAGTTTTGCGTGGGTCTCCACCTGCCTGTGCTTGGATGGGTATTTTGTATGTTTGCTGTGTGTTGGGGCAGGGTCCTGGGGATGGAACCACCCAGGACCGTCCTGCTGAGCTACATCCCCAGCTCTTTATTATTTTTTATTTCAAGATGTGATCTCGCTAAGTTGCGCAGTCTAGTTTCAAATGTATGATCCTCCTGCCTCAGCCTCTGACAGTGCCGAGATCACAGGTGTACGCCACCAAGCCTGGCTCTTGGGTGGCCTCATTGGAGGGTGCTGTGGACACCTCACGCCCTCTGGGGCGGGCAGGGAGCAGGCCAGCGGGTGTGAGAAGGGTCTGTAGCAGCAGCGGATGAGCCAGCAGAGGAAGGGGTGGGCAGTGCTGGCCGTTCCCCAGCCTCCTGGGCCTCCATGTCTGCTCTGCAGGGCTCCCGGTGAGGAGTGCAGTCTGTGCTACCTGGGACCCAAGGTGCCAGCAGATGGGAGGCGGCAAGGCGAAGTTGTTCTCCCTTTCCCTGTCTGGGGGCTCACTGTATGACCCAACCAAAGTCCCAGCTCCCCTGTCTCTTGGTTTCTCCAGCCTGGATGGTAAGAGCGCCCCCTACCCAGCCCCAGCAGCACCGCACGGTGCCTGCGCACACCTCGCACCCAGCTCTTTCCCTTTCTTTGAGCAGTGTTCCTTTAGTGGTCAGCATGTAAGTCATTTGGCTATTTGTGCATGCTTATTCCGAAGTAAACCCATTCATGTTACCGTAAATAACCCTTTTCCGATTATTCAGTGTCAGCATAGAAATGCTACTCGTGTGTGGGTTTTGTATCTTGCCAGATTCGTCCATCGCTTTTTTTTTAGGGGCACCTTGGATTGTGATTTTTTTTTTCTTTTCTTTTTCTTTTATTTGGTACTGGGGATGGAACTCAGGACCTTGAGTTTGTGAGGCAGGAGGCAGAAACACTGAGCTAAATTCCAGCCCCTGGATTGTGATTTCATCTGCAGGCAGAGGCTCATTTCCCTGGGGTTCCTTGAATTTCGCCTTCTTGCTGGATGCCTCTGGCAGGGAGTCCGGGCTGCCCTGGACAGACGTGGCGGAGGTGCGTCTGTGCCCTGTTGCCAACGTCAGCCTGTGAGCGTGGCTGCCCTGAGCTGTGTTAGCTTTCCCGGAACTGCCCAGGTCTCACCAGGACCCGGGCTGGGACAGCTGTGAAGAGTTTGAACAAGCCAGACTCGGTCGGCTGGGTGAGTGCACAGTCCGGGCTTCGTCTGGGCTTGATGCTGCCCCGATGGGCATAAATGTCTTAAAAACAACTTCATTTTTCCAGAGGTGGGAGTCTTAAGCAGTAGATAAGGCAGGACACTTACGCATATACATAGATGCTTGCCTTTTCGTACAGAAAGGGGTTCTTTGTTTGTGATACTTCCGGGCAGTCATCAACGAGAAATTCATGCCGTGCTGCAGCAGTGGGTTTTATATACCACTTGGGAGGCCTAAGTGCTTGAGGGTCCTGGGTTCTGGCTTTTTTCCCAATGGCTGTGCTTGGGAAACGCTAACCCTGCCCACCAAGTGAGGGGCTCACTTCCTCCCAGGCCTGACCATAAGTGTTTTGTTGTAGGGATCACTGTTGAAAACCTGTGTTAGATTTGAGAGCTCACGTCTGTAGATGAAGAGAAGCGCAGAAGCTCTGAAGAGTATATTTTTAAAGTAACTCCTAGCTGGGCATGGTGACGCAGGCCTGTAGCCTCAGCCCTCTGGGAGGCTGAGGCAGGAGGATCAAAAGTGGGAGCCCAGCCAGTGCAAGTAGGTGAATTAGCAAGACCCTGTCTCAAAACAACAACAAAAAAACACAAAACAAAGCAAGAAGAGTTGGGAACGTAGCCCAGTGCCAAGGCCCTGGGTTCAGTCTGCGGTAGCCCCATGGCAGTGGCAGTGCTGCTGCCGCTCCAGGGTAACAGTTGCTGTCTGCACGCAGCCTACAGCCCGCCTCCTGCCGCCGTTTAGCCCCACTGGATCAGCGTGGTGTGGTGAAGCCAAGCGGCGGATGGCGGGGGTGGAGGGTGGAGGTGGGTGCTGGTCTGCGGGATGGGCCGGGTCGGGGTCCTGCTTTCTCGTGGCTTTGTGGGCAGAGGGCTGTGGAACAGGCTGGAGTGGAGGAGGCCTGTGAGGGACGCCCAGGGAAGGGGAAGGGAGTCCCGGAGTCCTGGCCCCTGCAGGTAGTGCCCGGCTTTGTGATGGTGAAAACAAAAGACCGAGCTCCTCCGGCCATGAACTGAGCTGTGATGGGTTCAGAGCTGCCTGGGAGGTTACTTTACCTAGGGCTCATGAGCTCACTTACTCCTGTGGGGGCCGTGTGAGAATGGGGAGAAATCTGTGTGGAACTGTGTCTTTGCTTTCAGTGCCATCAGGGTCAGACCCTTGGACTTCTGTTTTAACCACTGGGGTTGAATTCAGGGATTGCTGAACTACATCCCCAGTCTTTTTATTATTTCAAAATCATTTATTTATTTGTTTATTTATTTATTATTGGAGATCTAACTCAGGACCTTGCACTCTAAAGGCAGGCGCCGTGCCACTGAGCTGCATCCCTGGCCGCCTATTATTTTTTATTTTTTGAGACAGGGTCTCATTCTATTTCAGGCTGGCCTTGAACTCATTATGTAGCCCAGGGTGGCATCGAACTCACGGCAATCCTGCCTCAGCCTCCTGAGTGCTGGGATGAACATGTGCCACCACACCCTGCTTTATTTTATTTATCCATTTATTTATTTCCTGGTACTGGGGATCAAACGGGCTTGTGAGGCAGGTGGTGGCACCACTGAGCTAAATCCCCGGCCCCCCACTTTATTTTTTTATTTTGAGACAGGCTTTTGGTAAGTTGCCCAGGCTGAGCTTGAACTCAAGATCCTCCCATCTCAGCCTCCCAGAGTGCTTGCATATGCCTGACTATATCCTCAGACTTGTAAATTGTTTCCCCTGTTCATTATAAACCAAGCTTAGTAGTCATTTTCTTTTTGTTTTTCTTCTGCTTACTTCTGTATTTCCTTAATTTCCATTGCCTTATATAAAGTATCTAAACTCTCTGTGTCTCTTTGCCAGTTTAAAAGGCAAAATGCATTCTTTTTTTTGTGTGTGTGTGGTATCAGGATCGAACGCAGGACCTTGTGCTTGCAAGGCAATGGCAGAACCGAACCACTGAGCCAAATCCCTGGTCCCCTTGGACTTCTTTTTTAAATTCTTTAAAATTTTTTGACATGCTGGTCAGTTACTCTGCCACTGTGCTACAACCCGTCCTGGACTTCTTTTATATATTCCCAGCACTACCACCGCCTCCTAACAGGCAAACCTTTGTTGGTTGCTAAAGTTTTGTTTGTGTGTCTGATTTTGGTTTGAGACAGGGTCTCCCTACATGGTCTAGGCTGGCCTTGAGCTTGGAATCCTTCTGCCTCAGCTTCCTGTGTGCTGAGATTATAGGTGTGCTCCATCAGGCCCAGCTGTTTGCTGAATTTGACACTGAACAAGATGGAACAGGATGCAGCCGGACATTATTATTTCTGATGTAAAGACATCCGCTGTCAGCCTTCAAAACGTGTGAATGACACCAAGGTCTGCTGGGTCTGTTATCTGTGATCAGCAAGGAAACATCTAAGTTCGCAGAGCGATCCGGCTTGTGGCAGCTCTGAGGTCCTGGCTGTGGCCGTTGTTGATATTTCCCGTTTTTTCAGTGGAGGAAGCTGAGCGTCAGGGAGTTCCAGTGTGCTTTCTGCTTTGCCATGCTGCCCCGTGCTCTCACCTGACTGACTGTGTGTGTGTGTGTGAACTGCGCCCTTACTATCTGTAGGGTGTGGCTTTTCGGTCCCAGTCACACAGAAGACGGAAGGCTCCACGGCTGTGGAACTTCGCTTTGTTTTACTCCGCTTTTGTGGCGAGCAGAGAGCAGCGCTTGTGGAGCTCAACCGGCTAGCGCGCGGGGTGACCAGCGGACCCCGTCCTGCCCGGGCCCTGCTGCCCTGGCGGCCCCGGGGTGGGCCGCTCAGACTCCCCTCTCGCCTGCTTCTGCAGCTATGACAGAGACTCCACGTTCAACGCGTTTGTGGGCATTCTTTGTTGGGGGTTATTGGGGTATATATTATTTAAGTTATCTATCACTGAGCTATGCTCCTGCTCTTTTTTGAATTTCATTATTAGTTTTTACTTTTATTTTAAGATAGGGTCTCACTAAGATACCTTAGGAAGCTTAGGCAGAAAGATGCATCACCTCTGTGAGCCTCCTGCTTCAGCCTACTCCAGGACTTATAGGTATATGCCACTTCACTGAGCTTTGAAAACCATTTGTTGATGAAAGTCTTCATAGAGCTTCAGATGAAAATACTGTGAGTGGGCCGGCGGGCGCCGCTGGGGTCCGGACCTCGGTGTCTGGAGCGGGCCGCTTCCTCTTCTCTTGGGTCCTGAAGGGCAGGAGGAGTTGGTCGCTTGGGCACTACCCGCCCTCTGTAGCGCTCTGGCTTCCCTTTGCCCGGCGGCGTCCTGGGTGTGTCTGTAGTGGCTCCAAAGGCAGCGGGCTCCCGGTGGGGGTTCTTTTCCATTGCCAGCTGGCGTGATCCCCCCCGACGCCGTGCTCCATTTCGATGTGCTTCTGGCGGACGTTTGGAGCCCTGAGGACCAGGTGCAGATCCGCACTTACCTCAGGCCGCCCCGTTGCCCTCGGACCGTCCAGGTGTCGGACTTCGTGCGGTACCACTACAACGGCACCTTCCTGGACGGCACCCTCTTCGACTCCAGGTGGGTCCCGCCGGCGCCGTGCGCTCCGCTCCCTGTCGGCCTGCTTTCTGTGCTGTGAGGACAGCAGCACCTGCCCAACTCTAACCAGTACCCAAGGCGTCGGAAAACTTCTGGGCTAGTGTGCCTCCTGCGTGGTGGTCCCGGAGCCGACTCTCAGTACACGTGAGGGGACTCCGACAGCAGTGCTTGTCTGGCTTACCAGGCAAGGCCTCTCACCGCGCGAGGGCCCGGCCCGAGTGGGGTCGGGTTCGTGGAAGCAGAAGGGGAAATGGGCCGGGCGGCTTGGGGCACCCTGGAGATTGCCTCGGAGCACTGTGTGCAGCTCGTGGAACAGCTGGCCCTTTTCCCTGATGAGCTTTTTGTTTCTCCTTGGCCATGAGGAACGGAATTCTCTGTGTGGGCAGCACAGGCCCAGACCTGCCTTCTCCGGGCTGGGTGTGGGCTCGTTGTTTAGCGAATATTTGGGGGACAAAATCCTTTCCGAGGGATGGATTGGAAGGAACACCGGTGTGGACTCCTCCCCTTCTGGTTGGTCCCTCAGTCACAATCGCATGAAGACATATGACACATACGTGGGCATCGGCTGGCTGATCCCGGGCATGGACACAGGGCTGCTGGGGATGTGTGTGGGAGAGAGGCGCATCATCACCATTCCTCCTTTCCTGGCCTACGGCGAGGCTGGCGATGGTAAGTCCTGCCCTTCCCTGGATCCTCTCTCAGCCTCACCCCGTCTTTTTCCAGTGATGAATTCAGTTGCAACCACAGGAAACCCACCAGGCATCCCGGCACTCTGGGAGGCTGAGGCGGGAGGTTCACAAGTTTGAGCCTACCCCGGGCAGCTCAGTGAGACCCTGTCTCAGAGTAAGGGCTGAGGGTGTAGCTCAGTAGGAAGGTCCTGAGGCGGCGGGGAAACGAGAGGAAGAGGAGAAGAAATGGACTGTTTTGCACGCTGTGTCCTGCTCTTGCAGTCCGTGAGCAGGGGAGAGGATTACCTGGAATAGAGGGGATCCTCCTCTCCCTGTTCACCTCCACTTTTCCTGTCTTACGTGCTCAGGATCCGTGCACAGTTTCTTAAGAGGAAGATGAGTGGGTGCAGCCCCTACTAAAGGAAAAATAAAGTTTGAAAACCATCGCCACAACCGTTCTCCCCTGTGTGCGAGTGAACCAAGGCCTCGTGCATGCTGAGCAAGGGCTTTACCATGGACTGCACCCCCGGCCCCGCGCAGTGTCAGTGGGTGACTCGAATCATCCCGCAGTGGAGCTGTACAGTATTGTGCAGTTAGGACACGTTCATGCTAGAACGATGTGAACCTGGGGTCACGTCCAAGACTTTCTGATTTAGTCAGGAGAGGACTTTCTTTTCTGTGGCCTGCTTCTCAGCTTCTTATTCACCCATCTGACCAGTGCAGTTACTTCTTGGTGGACGGTGGTCTTTGCAGGAGGTGCTCGTTTCCTCTGATGTCGTGGGGATAACCCTTTTACAGAAATACCACCTACCCGGGTCCTGCCTTGCACCCTGGCTGTGGGCTCCAGTCTCTCTCAGCAACCTGTGAATTGTGGACAGCCTAAGACAGTGGTGGTGAACCTATGGCACGTGTGCCGCAGCCGCTGCTTGTTTTTACTGAAGGCTCTAAAAGGTTCGCCATCACTGTCTAAGGGTTCAGGGAGTGAGGGAGAAACCCAGCCGTGTGATACCGGGATCACCACATTTCACCTCTAGATGTGTTTTGCTGCCAACATTAGCTTCAGACGACCTGATGTTATAATCACATTCATTAGGGTTGGTGTGGGCCCAGCTCTGTCTTGCTGCCTTGGAGTCGGCTCCAGGACCTCTCGTGGGTACCGGGATCCTCATGAAACCAGGGTGGTGCTTGCATACAACTACACACTTCCTTCCTTGCCCTCGAGACGGCGTATGGACACCTTGTACCAGTCCATGCTATATAAGTCGCTCCCACGCTGTGTTGTTCTAGGGAATACTCACAGGAGAAAAGTCCTGTCTGTGTTCAGTGGAGACGTAGTGTTTTCCTGTCCCGGGGATCAAATCCATATGGTGGCACTGACTACACCCCAGCTCTTGCTTTTTTAGCTCTGAGTCAGTTGTCCAGGTGGAACTTGACCTTGTGATTCTATCGCCTCCCTCCCAAGCTGGGAGTACAGGCGAGCAGCACCACACAGGCAGAGGATGTGGGAGAGAGGGACAGCTCCGTGGGCCTCTGCGGGGGCGCAGCCCAGAGGCAGTGATCCTATTCTGGATACACTTAAGGGATTGAATTTAATTTTGTATGTTTGCTCTTTGTTTTTTTATTTTTTTGGTACTGGGGATCGAACTTTTTCTTTTTTTTTTTCTTTTTTTTTTTTTTTTTTTTTTTTTGGTTTTTTTGAGACAGGGTCTCACTATGTAGTTGAGACTGACCTGGAACTCACTATGTAGCCCAGGCTGGTCTCAAACTCACACCAATCCTCCTGTCTCAGCCTCCCAAATGCTGGGATTACAGGTGTGTGCCACCCTGCCCGGCCTCAAATTTATTTTTGCTCTTTAAAAAATTGTAAGTTTTAGCTGGTTGTGGTGGCGCACACCTGTAATCAAAACAAATAAAAAAAAAATTGTAGATCTCTGTGTCTCTGTCTCTCTCTGTCTCTCTCTCTCTCTCTCTCTCTCTCTCTCTCTCCCTCTCTTTTGGTACTTAGGATTGAACCCAGAGTCTTTACTGAGCTACATCCTCAACCCTTATAAAATATGTATGTATGTATGTATGTGTGTATTTTTGAGGCAGGGACTCACTAACTTGCTAAGCTGCCCACGCAAAGCTGAAACTTGTGATTTTCCTACCTCAGCCTCACTGAGTGCTGGGATTACACGGTGTGTCCCACCACGTACCTGGCTGTAAGTTTCCACCAAGTGTGTGTAGGACCAGGCCAGAGCTCTGGACCTGGCATTAGCTGTCTGCGAGGGCACTAGCACACAAGCAGAACCCCAGAGGGACGTGTTTGGGTCACCTGTGGTTTCAGAGCCCCCTGCCCGGAGCCCTGGATTTCCAGTGCTGGACAGGCCTGGCTGTCCGCTGGCTGCTTGGCCTGAGTAAGGCAGGCTCCTGCTGTGCCCACGAACCCTGGGTGGATGCCGTGGTGAGCACCGTGTTCAGGATGGGGCTGCCCGCGAGCCTTTGTGTCTGTGGTGTGGGACTGTGTGGAGGGGTGGCCTGCATAGGCGCTGTGTCGGCTGTGCCCTTCCTGGGTCCCAGGTCCTGATGAGCCACTTCCCACCCTAGGGAAGGACATTCCTGGGCAGGCGTCGGTGGTGTTCGATGTCATGCTGCTGGACCTGCATAACCCCAAGGATAGCATTTCCGTTGAGAACCAGGTGGTGCCCGAGAGCTGTGAGCGCAGGAGCCAGAGCGGGGACTTCCTGCGGTACCACTACAATGGCACCCTGCTGGATGGCAGCCTCTTCGACTCCAGGTGAGCGGCTCCAGGCTGGGGCTTTACGGGGCAGGTGACAGTGCCCGCGGGGCACAGAGCCTCCTTCCTGCACCCAGCACCTCAGGTCTAGCTTGTGCGGCCGCCCGGTGTCAGGCACACGTGGCACGCGTGGCTTGTAACAAGGGCTGTGATACCTGCTGCCTCGCTGGGCGTCACTTCCGGCTTACTTAGCTATCCCAGAGCCTCACAGAATAATTTTTTCTGTGATATCACAGTATTTTGTTTCAGTAATCCGTTATTCTTAGTCCCAAGATCTTTTCTTTTACATTCCCTATTTAAATTTTTTTGAAGGTAATAGTCCCTTAATTCACAACAAAACACAGGCCCGGGGATTTAACCAGTGCTTCCACCGCGTGCCTCATAAGCGCAAGGACCCGAGTTCAATCCCCGGTACCAAATAAATAAATAAATACATAAAACAAAACACCGTAAGGCAGGGTGCCTGTGTCAGCTTTGTCTGCTTCTCACGTTCCTGTCTCCGCCCTGCCGAGTTACCGTTTTACTGGCTTCATTCATTTAGTTTGTGTAACTTTTTAAAATGCAAATTTAAGTTATCTTATTTTCTCCCCTTTATAGCTTCTGGAATATAAAGTATTATATTAAACAAAATGCTACATAATATATATTATTCTGCACCTAGATACTTTTTGCTTTGAAATTTTTCCATATTAACGTATATAAAGAAATCAATTATTTTTTACATCTGTGTAGTGTTCCATTGGATGAATTAATGAACACTTGAGTTTTTTTATTTTTTGTGGTTGCAAAAGATTCCCCAATGTGTATATATGCTTTTATGTTTCAGCTTGGTTCATCCTTTATTTCCTGGAATTAAATTATATTTCTAATTACCTCCCTCCCTTCTTTAACTTGGTAGTACTCATGGGATTGAGTCCAGGGCCTTTGGATTGAGCTATATCCCCAACCCCGCTTTCTTTTTTTTTTTTTTTTTTTTGTCTTGGTCTGACTC